CATCCTCAAAAGTCATAGTTGGTCTTGCATTAGCTTGAGTTATGACAGAAATTTTTAGTTTATCATAATATGGATTCTTTAGCTGTCCTTTTTCTTATCCTTGTTGGGTGTGCCTTGAGAATAATTTAGAACATTCTTTTGGCATGGCAACTCTTGATTAGAAGTGAATTTGCTATTACCTAAAACTCTCATTTCACAAGATTTGAGGATTGCAAAGACAATAAATATAGAAGAGGTGGAGGACCTTGTGCCCTTCACCACTTTCTACATTGTTGGCCTTTGTGTTGGAGTCTTCTTCACTCTCCACTATTGCGTGTATAAGAGGGAGGATGAAATGTCTTTTGCTTATGAGACCAAACCCTTGCAAACATCACACTTTTGTAAGTTTGCGTCTATAACAAAAGGAAGTTTGCTTCTAGTAAACGTGAGCTGATTCAAGTAGAGAGGAGTTCCAATGATGCTAGCAGTATATCTAAACCATAGTTGCTCTTAATGAACATTGTACAACTTCACCCACAATGGAACAAGAATTTAAGCTTTGGTTGTTTACTATAATTCATAACCTTTGATGATAGCTTGGTTGTTTCTTCTACTTACGATGGTTGTGTTTGGTGAATTTTCTCATTCTTTTTTACCTCTCCTTGTTTACGTTGTACTTGTATAATCCAAATAGTTAGTTGTTTCACCCTACAATCCCTAAACCATGTGCTCCCAAATTTTAATCTATGTTGCAAATAAGTGAAAACTAAAACTTGTGTTGGAAAGTATGTACAACAGTTGGATGATGATAAAAGATACACAATTCCATTGTTGAGTAATTTAGTTTATTTGTTGTCCATTCCTACGTTAATCTTTGCTTGACTTGTAGGGTTCAATAGATGGACAAGAGTTGGATGATGATAATGGATAGGTTGAAAAGTAAAGAGTGCCAACAAAGTCATTTATTAACTTTGCTACGAAGGATTTAGACCCACATGATGACATTCATTGTCCGTGTGTTGATTGCTTGAATGGCACAAAACATAGTCGACAAGTTGTATGGTTGCACTTGATTCGAAGAGGAATCGTGTGTTCTTATAGAACTTGGGTGCACCACAGGGAACATGTTCCATTGTGTCATGGTCAGCCTAGTGTGTCAAATGATGATGGTGAAAGAGATGGAGCTGCAATTTTTGACATTGACGATAATTTGGGTGAGTTGCCTACTATGTTGGAAGAGATTTACATGAGTGGCCTTATGGATGATCATATCGACGAAGAAACTAATAGCTCGGAGAGAGAGAGAATTTAGTAAAGTTCATTAGGTTGTTTGATGATGCTCGGCGCAAAGTGTACCCAGAGTGTGAAAAGTTTTCCGTGTTGTCTTTCGTTATTAAGATGCTTCATATTACGGTGTACAATAAATGAAGCAACAAATCTTTTGATATGGTTATGCAAGTTTTCGAAGACATTCTCCCAAAGTGTGATGAAACTGTCCCATGGACCCTTTATGAAGCGAAAAAGTTCTTACGTGAATTGGGTTTGGGATATGAGGCCATTCATGCATGCAAGAATCATTGTATTTTGTTTTGGAAGGACAGCGCAAAATTGGATAATTGCCCTACATGTAAGGAGTCTAGATACAAGTTCAACAATGCGTGTGGTAAAAAGATTCCTCACAAAATATTGAGGTACTTTCCTTTGACACTGAGGTTGAAGAGATTGTACATGTCGAAAAAGAATTACTTGCGTGGATTTGGGATTGGCCCACGACCCTATTCGCCACTTGATAGTGCGACACGATCTCGTGACAAACAAATGGAGGCAATGAGATCTGAGATGGAGGTTCTTCATGAAGATTTGATAAAGGAGAAAGAAGAGTGCTAGAGAGATCGTGAAGAGATGATGAGGGAGAGAGGAGTTAATGAAAGAAGTAGAAGAAGGAATAAAAGTAAGGGAGGCGCAACAAGAAGAACTTAATCATTTGAACTTTGTGGTTTTACGACACTTAACATTGTTGGAGAGTTCAGACGGTTATCGTCATATTTGGTAGGAACAATTTTATTCATATCATACTAAAACTTATACAAAAATACTTCACATATTGACATTATTGTTTTGGACCACTTTCTGATAAGAAATCATATAGCTATCAATTTATGTGGTGCTCTTCCTCTATAGCTTTCACTACCAACTAGGAGCTCCCTTAAGTTGGAGAACGAAAATTTTCGTTCAGAAATTATGAATCAGATTCCACATGCATAAGCTTGACTCATTTGGCACTCAATCAGCCCACTAGGAATGTTTATGGCTTTACTATAGCTATTACCGTTAGTCATTCTGTATGAAAGGCAATGTTGTAAAAAATAGCCCATGTAATATGTGTAGATGTTAGATTTACATAGTCACTAAAGAATACTATCTCTTTATTGTTATTGCTTAAGTGTAATCCAAAGTTGACTTCATGATTTTAATTTGAGAACCTCTTCAAAACGCCCTAAACTTAGTCGAAAAAGGAGTTTCTGGGGGAAAAAATTCAAAGTAGCCCCCGACCCCTCGTGTGGCTTTCACGGACAGCTTCCCTATTCCAAATAGGACTTGTGACAACTCACGGAATGTGATCCGGACTTGTGACAACTCATGGAAAACAATAATGAAGATTACGACATTCAATTGGTACCTTTTAGGTTTATAACAGTAAAATCTTTAAAAATATAAAATATGAGTACGGCTGGTTACATTTGTAAATATATATATGCATATATATACATAATTTAATATATATATATATATGTATATATATATATAATTTAGAATAAATAGTCTTGTTGGTTAAGGATCCCATCCACAATTTAATGCCAAAAGCAATGTATAAAATAATGTGCAATTAAACTAACTTTACCTTTATATGGAAGAAAATACAATTCTTGGTGATGCAGTTATTGCCAAAAATTAAAAATAAAAATAAAAATAAAAATAGGCGCGTGTTTTGGTGTACCCAATATACATATAGAAATAACCATATAAAGTACCAATATCCAATATGAACATTTTTCAAATTAGCATGTTTCATAACTTTTTATTTGAATTATTTTGGGACTTGGAAGATAATTGTTTCCATGGTGTAATGCATATTACAGTTAAATTACCTGAACCAGTGAAGCTAAGAGAGGCCGAAGCAAAAGAAAATGCAAAATTAACAAAGTTCGAAGAAGAGATGGTACAAATGGCAGCAACATTATGTGGGGACCACTAGAAGGACATTTATCCCGGCAAACTTGTAGAGAAAATGATTGTTGGTGAGGCAGTGAAGTATGTCAAAAATTTCTTCAAGAAATTCGTAGATGAATGTGAGAAAGCTAAGGCAAGTGGTGCAGATGAGTCCCAGATTTGTGTCCCAAGTGATGATGATCCACCCAAACCATCAAAGGATAAGTCCAAATCCTTTGCTTCCAAGTTCTTTTCTTGCGTAGCTTGTGCCAAATCATGAACTTAATCATCATCATTCACATATGTTTGAATCCTATTTCGAATTCAATAAGTGTAATTACACAAAATTCAAATATAGAATTGGATATATAAAATATATTGGTGGGCATGATTTTTCAAAAGCGGATTCCATTGCGTATTCTTGATCATTCATGTGTTTTTGTGTCTGATTCTGTGTGTTCGGTTTTCGAGTTCCTAGCGTTAGTGATTTTAGTTTCACAACTTAACTATACCTTTAACCAACGCGACAATCAGTTGGCCAGAATCCTTGACCAAATCTTTCTTTTTACGTGTGAGTATTATTTTTCTTATATTTGTTTGAATTTCTCTTTGATTTTGAGAATTTCTTTGTAATAATGATATATTTGTATATGATTTTTCTTTTTTGTAAATGTGATTCATTACATTTTATTGTAATATGATACATTTTACTAATAATAGATTTTCTCCAATATTGCTTTGGGTTTATACCATAAACTCATTTATATTAATGATGCGAAAACGATTTATTTCATGCAAACAACTCATCTATGTATTTTAAATATTTTTATTAAAAGGCATAATCTATTTTTCTTTCTTGTGGTTTAGACCTATAGCACTTTATCCTTTTACCATTTTAAAATAGCCAAAAAATCTTCTTATGATTTTGGGCTAAATTACACTATTAAAATATGAAAAATTATACAATAGTTTTAGAGTATTGCGTGGTCATATTTTCTCACCTATCACCATTCATTATGTTCCTCATGTTTCTCAATCACCCAATACAAATGGTTAATACTCCACCTTCTGCATTAATAATATTACCATGTAACACCACGTGACCGTACTCCTAAACTACCGAATAATCACCCAGTAAAATTTATAGTTTCCAGCCACTTTTATTCATTACCTTAACATTTTCTTTAGGGCTGGAGGGGAGGCGGTGGTTCTGATTCTCTGCCTCTCCAACATTACTGAGTCCTAATTCTCAACATTTGCAAATGGAACGAAAACTTTGGTGGAATTTCTGATAATAAAACATCAAAATTTCATTTTATTCTAGGATTCACTGCTGGAAAATCGACTTTTAGCGGCGTTTTAAAAATGCCGCTAAAGGTACTGAAAACGTCGTTATTTCTTTTTGTGACGTTTAGTACCAAACGCCGAAGACGCGGCCGTCGCTATAGCTTTATGACGTTTGGAAAATGTCGGTATATTAGTATAGGCGGCGTTTAAAAACGCCGCCAAATGTTCTACCCTAACTGTGTTGTGACGTCACTATGACATTTAGCGACGTGTTGAAAACGCCGTCAAAGACATTTATACATTTTAAAAATCTAACCGTTGGGATAGGGATACAGTGACATTCAAAAAACGCCGCCATAGCCTTTATTTTTATTTATTTTTATTTTTTAAGCTGTGCTAATTTTATATGGTTGAAAAAAATACCTGTCATAAACAATTATTAAGTACAAACCAACTTCATATATATACATATTTAAGTCCAAAAACCAACCAAACAAGACAAACAAGTAAAAAAAAATAATCAATTTAACAAAAACATATAACTCATTTAGGTGCTAACCAAAATTGAGTGGATGCATCAAGAATTCACATCCTGTTAACAAATACAAACCACTTTGATATATATATATACATACACATTTAAAGAGGTCCACGTACTCCATGAAATCTGAAATGTGCATCTCTGTTGAGTTGAGACAGCATGTACCGACTACATAGCGCTTACAATACAGTGCTTGAGAAATTTGCATGGATCTATTTGCTGCAGCAGCAAGTGTGGCTTCATTTAACCGAAGATTGGAACTTCCGCATCACCGGTTGAACTTCTTGTGTGGTGATGCCAATGAGGTTGTTGTGGCTGATTCAAGCTGTAGTTGCACTGCTTGGTTGTTTCCTTAGCTTCCTCTTTGGATGACACTGCAGCGAGGAGATGTATTCCACCCGAATCCACCTTACTGAACATGAGGTTAGCAACAGCCCTGTCAATGGAATTCGTCTCTGATTCCATAGTTTTCATGTCCTCCAACCTGAGAGAATAGAATTAGCCTTGGGAATATCTGTCGTTGCAACAAGAACACCAACACCATTGTTCTCATGAAAAAATGAAACTTCATCATTTGACATGTATAAAAATGCAAAACATTACACGCACAGAAAGTTTGTGTGCACAAAATGCAGCGATTTGTACATTTTGTGAGACATTGGTGGATACTGTGTGCGTAAACTTTTATGCACATATCATTGCTGATGCAATTGTATTTAACATGAAGGAAAATAATAAATGATGCAGTAGAAAATTTTAAGAGAAGTAAAGATGACAACATGAGCTTCAGGAAAAGGAGAATAAAACAGGTTATCCTGATTGCCAAATTATGATTATTTTCATAGATCAAGGCATTTAAGCTATTAGTAAATGAAATTGTAGCTGAGTTTCAGAGTACATTGAATAAGAAACTCCAAAACATTAGATTATAAGTGTATGACCTTATCAAGAATAAAAATTGTAAACACTTCAATTTTTCATTTACTAAAACAAATGCAAAAGGATTGTTCTGCCGCATGGAGTATGGGACAACATCAGATCCTACAGTGTTCAGCAGCTTAAACTGTCATTGAAGGAATAACTGTAGAGGGAAAAAGTAATCCCCAGTACTTACAGGGTAATTAATCAGAAATAGATACCCTTGTTTTTAGCTAGAAAAGCAAACTTGTTTTAGATAAGCTCTGGGCATAGATCAAATGCATTTACCCTTACTGAGAAAACTCAAAACAATTGAGTTCTGTAAGGAAATTTCCTACAGTGTTGAACTATAATCTTGTTAACTATCCTGGATGGTGACAATACAATGAGAACTTCACCAGTTTTTGTCTTTTATCAATCCTACATGTACTTCCAACAGATCTTGATGGTGATTTGAAATAATGATAGAACTAAGGAGCAAAAATACTGAAATGATAGGGGTATCTTTATAAATCTTGGACGAGGGTAACATTCAGAGATATTTGTCTAGATTATTTAAACATGATACATAATTATATGATCTTTATTTCTTTTCTCCATCACAGATTCAGAAAATCAACTTTAGGAAATTTTGGTTCCCTGTAGCTAGAAAATGATGCATATGAAAATTTGAATGGTGAGATTTCTGAAACAAGCATAATGGGAAAAACAGAGCTCTCCCAGGAGTGCAGTAATAATATCAAAGTTTGAGTCTAAAATGTGATCAGTTAACATAAAGAGTTAGTTATGGATATATGTTCATTACTCATATAAACTAACATGTTCTACTCACTGTTGATATGCCCATCATGTTGAGAAACAGTCCAGATCCCAAATACATAGCTAAAGCTTCACATAAACCAATTCCAAGCGCTAAAAGTAAGGCAGTAGGGACTGAGGGTAGTGCCGTTCTTTCATCTGTTTCATCAAGGAGTTTACTGTTGTTAATTTCTGTCACAATCGTCATTTTACATCAAATTCTCAAAATGAACAAATGGAAGAAAAAAAAATTCTTATTTTTGTGTAATGTATTTCATGCTCAAGAGATTGAAGTCCTTGTTGCACCTATTCTAATTTTACCTGAAGTTGATCCCTTGCTTGCATTTTTGGAGATATCTTCAGCTACAAACGAAGTCGCAACACTAAGGAGAGGGATGTTGAATACCTCAGATGGAGTGAACAGAGCACACGCTTGATCAGTTATATTCAATAAGGATGCTTCCTGCCAAATTGAAAATTTGAATGAACTATTACAAAGGAATTGCAATCAGATAGACTGTTTAGAATTCTCAGAGAAAGAAAATGAAAGAGAAGAAAGGAAAGGAAAGAAACAATCACCTGTTTGCACAAAAACCAGAGAGAAGATATATCTTGTCTTGTAAAATTCAGATTATAACGCCCCACTAATGCATGGGTAATTTCATCCAAGGCAGGTTCCTTAAGCTTAAGAACACCAGGCTCCTGACTTGTTCTATAGGCCTGCATTCAGAGATATACACAATAAAACCAAAGAAGTATCATGTGTTGTAAAATTCAGCTCATAATGCCTCACTAATGCATAAAATTTCATCCAAGATAGGTTCCTTAAGCTTATTATCCAGCAGTATAAAGTTTAATTTCAATTTCCTAGTTGATCAGAATTGAGCAGGAACAAGCTGGCAATGCTTTACAATCAATTGAATAACATACGGAACACAATGCTTTTTTAGATATCAAGATAACAAATTTCCTATATTTATTTATTTATTGGGAAGTAAACTAATGCTTGTGTTTTTGGAAAGCAAACTAAAAATCCCCCAAGGCAATGTAGGCGAAGAAACATGAATCAAGACCCCCTCTCCCAAAAAAAAAAAAATCAAATGTCTATAAATTTTTTAAGGAATGGAAAGGGTGAATCACCTTCAAAACTTCATTAATGCCCTCAATAATGTAGTAAAAAATTGCCGTCCTCTCAAACTCAAAGGCATGCCAATGAACTTTTTTCTCAATTGGTTTGTATTTCTCAACTTTTATTGTTTTTATCGCTCGTGTCATGGAGTTGCCACAAGACAAATCACAATGGAGTAAAGTTTATTTTGCCTCAATATATGTATATTCTATTGTATGAAGCACACAACTTGGTCTGTAATTCCATAAAATAATTTTGATTTCTAAAAATAACCACAATAATACTAAATGTTCTCCAAATATTTAGCATTCCTAACACTGTTGTATTCAGTTGCGCACTACTCTCTCCACTTTCACCCATGACCTTCCAGGGCAATTTCAATTGCACACGTTAGTGTGCGCAAGGCTTCTAGTATATATATACACGAAAAATTTATGATATAGTTGGCAAAAGAAAGGAATTAAATGAAAAAGAGGAGAGGGAGAGGGAGAGGGAGAGAGAGAAAGAGAGAGAGAGAGAGAGAGAGAGAGAAGGAGGAGGCAAGTCGTCCGTCGCAGCCCTCCGCCGTCGCCTCTGCCCGATCGTCGCAGCCCCGCATCGGCCGATCGTCGTCGCAGCCTCTACCCCTTCTCCGCCTTCGCCCCCCCGTAATCACAATGAAACTAAATGCCCCAACTTGAACAACACAAATGGACCAAAAATCAATCATGCCGAATTCCATTAATCACAATGCAACAAGGCACAAAAAAGGTAGGTTTGATTATCAGGTAGCCATTTCACATTTGGTGGTATTTACCAATTTTACTTTGAATTGAATAGATACTTCTACCCAAATTCCACCTTCCTTGTTAAGACCTCATTATCATTTAATTATGCAAAGTTTGAAAATTCCATATCTCCAGATGAGAGGAGGTTCCATTTGTTTGACAAATAACAGATGCAAATCAGCCTTAAACTTTATTAACTTGCGCCTCTGAAATGCATTAAGCCACTGCTAACATATCAAATCGCAAACAAAGGGACTGAAATGTAATCAAAACAACATTTAAACAATTGAGATATTTAAGCACAGCAAAAAGTAAAGTTGCGATAGAAATGATGATATGACACACAATCTGACCTCACATCCAATGTAATAAAAAGCTGATTCAGATCATCCAGCATCCTTCAAGCAAAAGATTTCCATCATTATCACAAGTATTGTTTGGAAAGGAATCTATTGCAACAGATAATAATTGAAAATATTTCTCCATCACGACCATAATCCAAACCCTAGGAGGAGATTCAAGATTGTAAACCCTAGGAGAATAATCAATGGAATGAAGATCTTGAGGAAAAGAGAGAGAACTTCGACATCAAAATCGAGATTGTAGACAGTAGTGCTCACTTTAGTAGACGCTGCAGATGGTGGTGTGGTGGTTGTGCTTCGAAATCGAGAGAGAGAGAGAGAGAGAGAGAGAGAGAGAACTTCGAAATCGAAATCACCGAGCTGAAGAAGGTTGAATCGTATCTTCCAAATCGATATTGAAATCGATTCTGCTCTACGAAATCTATTTTGCTCTACGAAATCGAAATCACTCTGAGATTGGATCACCGAACTTCGATATCGAAATCACTTTAAGGGTTTAGAGAGAGCGGGCGAGCAAGATTTATACACTGGTGTTTCTCAGATTTGAGTAAGTGAAAGTGAGAAGAAGGGTTGCTCAGATTAGAATGAGGGTTTGAAGAGGGAGAGAGAGAGCGCGTGAGAGTGGGATACATTCGAAGGCGTTTTCAAACGGGTTAAACGGTACTGTTTTATTAAATTAAAATGTGAGATACATACGAAGGCGTTTTTAAACAGGTTAAACGGTACCGTTTCATTAAATTAAATTGCGACGTTTATAAAACGCCGTTAAATATTAAAAAATGTGGCGTTTCAAAAAACGCCGTTAAAAAAACGCCATTATACCACACATTTCCTGTAGTGATTGAATGGATGGATAATAACAAAAAAAAAGGTGATAATTATTGTTTTTTTTTTTTTCCATTGGTGGTTCAATAATTCTTATAAAGATCTTGAAAATGCTCTTTGGGAGGACATTTTATGTTGTTATGTGGATGTGGATTGTTTGAGAATCAAGAAATGGTTTAGTGTTCAGGAAAAACTAGTTAGTCCAATTTTGGATGAAGTTTTTTTATCTGATTAAAATTTAGAGTGACTTTATGGGTTAAGATACACAAGAATATTGATGTTATTCATTGATTGATATTACTGGATGCTTAGAAGGTGTTAAAGAAAAAACAAAACAAAAAATTGAAATTTTAGTGTATCGTTGTGAGATCTTAAGGGTTGTGGTTGCTTCAATGATAATCGATGTGATTTAGGGACTTCACTATATGTATTCCTCAATGTAGTGTGATAACCCCATCATGTAATATTTTATATTTAATTAATGACGGAGATTTGAATTTTGATTGCCTGCTATTCTGATTTAATTTGAGAATTATGAAAATTATGGAGACTGATTTGTTTATGATTCTATTGAAGTTTTATTTTGAAATTAGAAATTGAAAACCTAATTGGCTCAAGAAACAATAATTAGTTAGTTAAATTATTTTAATTTTGAGTATCGGATCATATGAGAATTTAATTAAATATTTGATTCAGATTTGTAAAATTGAGATTTGATTAATTGGGTCTAAATTGGAGTTAATTATGTTATGATGAGTGGGAATTAAGATTATTGTGAATTAAATTTATTTATGAGGTATTCCATTTGAATATGTAATTTATTGACGGAGGCCTTGAGTTTGACTTGAAATTAAAGGCCTTACTGATGTAAGAAATCAAAATTGATGATGGAAATAAGCTTAATTTGATATTTGGAGCCTTTGGGGAGTTTGGTTAAAAAATCTGATTTAGAATGATAAATTTAAATATAATAAATTGGGCTCTAATGAAAGTCAAATTAGGTTAATTAAATTCTGTGGAACTTGTGATTAGTCATGATTAGTTTAATTATGCCATTGTTGTGGAATTGCATGTCTAAGGATGTGAATTATAAGGATTTGAAATTATCTGTTGATTGTAGAAAAATCTATTGAAATTATAGCCTTAAACGAAAAATTAAGGACCTTAGAGGTGCCAGAAAACAAAACCGATTAAATATTTATGATCAGTATGATTTTTAGAGCCTAGTATGGAGTTTGTAAAAATCAGATTCAGAATTAATTAAATTAATTTTATTAATATTATGTATATATATATATATATATATATAAGTATATGGGCCTTAGTTGAGATAGACTCAACAATGAAGATATTTTGAGAGAGAAAGGGTTCCGAAGAAGACAAGAAGAATCGAAGGAGAGAAAGAAAAGAGGAAAGAAGAGAGGTTCAAAGAATTGCATCAAAACTCAATTCTTAACAAGTTCAAGATAAAATTCCTAACTTAATCTCTGTGGAAAAGCTTCCTATTATACAAGTTTAAGAAGAAATTAAGATCAATTTGTGTTAGAAACAAAGTTATGGAGGAAGAAAATGAAAAAGAAAGGGTAGGATGAAGAACAAGCTAAGTGCCCATGATTCATGCTAATTCTATCTAGGTTTTGATATTTTTTGTTGGAACAATCTTCTATGTAAATAAAATAAATTGAAATAATTCAAACAAAATAAAATAAAACTTACAGAATTTATTTTGTTGAACCGAAAATAATTAAAGACCAAGTCGAGTGTGTGACACTCTGTCCTTAAGACAGATTCGCCTCGCTACGGTGCTTACGGTTATGTGGCGTCTATCTCCCAAGATACAATGATATTCACAAATTTGTAGTAGCACTTCAAACAAATTTGTCCGGCGAACTAGAATCTTGTGTTCTATACCTCTCTGAAATTTTTTCTAAAATAATATGAAGAATAAAGGACGCAAGAGAGCAAAATGAAGGCAAGGAAAATGAATTTTCAGAATCTCTCAAAATTGGAATGGGGCTGCATTTATATAGGCTTTGTTGGCGCCTATTCAATTTGAATAGAAAATGTATAAAGAAGGGACATAACCCTTCCTTTAAAATAAAGAGACACCATGAAAGGTTTGCACCCTTTCATTCAAATGGAGGTTTGACCCTTCTTTTAAAACAAAAAGACACCATGAAAGGTTACACCCTTTCATTCAAAATGGAGTCTATTTCAATTCATAACTACCTCTTTATAAATTTTCCAACAATCCCCTACATGAATGAAATTGACAGAGAGAAAATGCAACAACATGATGTAAATACAGAGAGTACAGAAATTGGAAATATTCTGCAAAGGATAAGTAGCTTTTGTCTTTGAACCTTCCCTTGTGAGACACTATCGGATTTACTAGCTAACCAGTGAACGTGATGTCTTGAACTGTTCAGCTGTTTGTGTAAACCAAGACAATAGAACTCACATAGTATATCCCCAAACACAGTTTAGTTCTCACTATTGTGTTCATTTTGGCCCTGAACAACCTGGACTTTCATGAGTGCTCTAAAAAATTGTAGCCCTTCACAATTCTCATAGAACCGGCCCAGTTCACACTCATATAGGTGATTCTTATGAAGAGTATCCTGCCATATTCCACTAGGTTTACCTAGATATAAGAATCATTTAAAAGTTTTACTTAACCTAAAACGCTGCAGGCATCACTATTTTATCATAGAAATGGGTATGAGCTAGACTCCCCAGTGATCCTTCTGAGTCATTCACAACTCGGTTGTTCCTTTGAACCTAGATCTTGGGATCTCCAGTCAACTAGGTTGGGTTGCCGTTGTGGTTACTCTTATTTAATAGGCTTAAGTCCCATTCCCCTCGATGAATTCTCAACTAACTCTCTTGCTAACCCTTTGGTTAGTGGATCCGCTATGTTGTCTTTAGACTTCACATATTCAATGGAAATAATTCCATTAGAGAGCAGTTGTCTTACGGTATTATGTCGACGCCGAATGTGTCTAGACTTAACGTTATACATTTGACTCTGTGCTATACCTATAGCTGATTGACTATCGCAATGTATGCATATAGTAGGCACCGGTTTTGGCCATATTGGAATATCTTCAAGGAAGTGGCGAAGCCATTCTGCATCTTCCCCAGCTTTGTCTAAAGCTATGAATTTTGATTCCATAGTAGACCTAGCAATAC